TTGAGGCTCTTTCCCAAACAGCTGCAGGAGGGAAAGCAGCTGAGTTTGGAGGAAGAGTTTTCTGCTGAGGTTTCCTGTTTGGAGCTGTCACAAGCTTGAGCTGCTCAAGGGAAACGCGGCTCTGCTTCCAGCAGGGCCCAACTGCCCGGGAGCACAACTTGGTTCCCTGGCCCTGAGCCAACGGCAGCAGCAGCTTCTGTTCCCTCCTGGCTCTTGTGTCATTTCCAGCAGCACAAGACACACCAAGAAAAGCTCCTCCAGAACATGCCATGAGAAACACAACCTGATTTCATTGAATGAAGGAGCTCTGACAGTCCCACGGGCTCAGGTTTGTTTGTCAGTGAACAGAGCAGGGAAAAGCACAGACACATTCCCTGCACAGGGAATTCACAGGAGGAAAGTGCAGGGCTGGAGGATGTGCTTGGATACAACGTTCCCACAGCAGTTTTGGGGATAAAATCGTCAGTGGAGTGAAAAGAAAAAGTCCTATCAAGGATTTTGTGGGGAGGGCTGGTGCTTCCCGGGAGGCTCCCGAAGCTCAACAGTGTGAAAGAGTGGCTAGCTAACAAAGGTCGTGTTCCCATGCAGCAATTAGCTGAGAAAGAATTAAACAACAGTGGAGTGTAGTTGGTATGAGATGTTGCAATGTCAGAAAGACCTTAGTGATAACTGTGAACTGAGAACAGGACACTGTGATCAGAAGAATGTGGATTCAGCACAGATGAATGACCACAAGAATGTGGAACTAGGTGGAGTTGTCCTTAAATGAAATATCCAATAATGAGCTTGCTTTTGCACTATGTAGGAGCCTAATTATTGATGTTATATAGGGAGTTTGGAGTTGCCAATAAATGAGACTTGCTGATCATTCATATTGAGTGCTGCTTGTCTCCCGCCGAACTCATCAAATGGCGCCCGAACAAATGGGACCCTTGGGACCTTTGGGACCTTTGGGACATTAAAAAGCGAAGGCCACGGGAGTCGGCGACAGGGGACGGGTCCTCCGCAGCAAGGACGGCGAAAAGCAACGGTGCCGCGCCCCAGGCGACCTCAGAGGAGAGTCCTGGCCGTAACGTGCTGCCAAACCTTGTAGGGCTGCAACAGCGCTGACGGTAAGATGGAAAGGCAAGCAGCACATGATTTATTTACCTGCTTTTTAGAAAAGCCACAGCTTAAGGGTTTTGATTTGTGCAAGGAGCTCCCTGGACTTCTTGCTTATGGGTATGCTCATTCCTTTGCCTCCCACTGCTGGGCAAACACTCCTATCTATGCTGCCCATGGAAAGAGGGAGGGAGAGTCAGAGAGAAGGAAATAATGAGAAAGAAATTCCAGAGCAAACGCTGAAACAACGAACAGAATCTGTTCAGTTACGGCAGGATGTGATATATCCTGAACTATTTGCTTCACTTTTGGAGTCACTCTTAACACTACAATCTTATTTAAGTTCCAGCTTTGCTACCCTGGAAGAAAAGAATCCAAATTTAGATTGGTTTCCACCTGAACCAGGGGGACATGGGGGAGCACTGAGGTGTGCGCAGAGAGCAGGGGCACCCCCGGGGCAGAAGCAGTGCAGAAAAAGTTCCAAGGCCACACTGAACAATTACAGAAACAGCTGAGCAGAAACAGGTGGCTCAGACAGCTTCAAAAAGTGACAAAATAGCCAAAAAATCACAAACTATATGGTACCTAGTTCGAAATTCATCACTGTAATTAGAAGTTGATAAGCTGCAATGGTCACCATTGTTAGCACC